TCTCTCTCTCTCTCTCTCGTCTTATTTCATTAGAACAGATTTACCTCTCCGCAGAGAGAAATCGCTTGTTGTTTCTTAAAATTAACACCGACATTTTTCTCACGTCTGGTGCCCTATTTTATTTTTTCTTCCTGTTTTCTCTTTCTCTCACTGTTCTAATTCTCTGATTTATTCTAAGAATGTACGCCTGGACGTCAGCAACTGTGCACAAAATAACTGTGGAGTGCGGTTAGAAAAGCTAACAGTGAATAATAAATAAATACATATTCCTGATTCAAAATAATTATCCTTGGTTCTGGAAACTCGGAATGTACGTGAGTGCATCATCGAAACACCTCTTTGCATTGATCCGTGCCACAGCACAAAAGGATTAGAGTAGAGGAATGACCGGACAGAGAGGAGGAAAATAAATGGTTACCAGCGTTGTTGTAGAAGTATAATGTTTTGTGCTTCACGGCGTATGCCATCCAGAAAAAAGACGTTTGTAACATAAAAAAAGAAGGGGTGGTTGGGGGGTGGGGGCACTTGAACCGTTGACAGAGCATCAAATGAGAAGAAAGATATATGAGGATGAAGGAGAGAACAGAGAAAGCACTTAAGATTTAAACTCGAAAACGTGATCAAGCAGATCAAGTTAGTAATCTACAGCTGATAACATACGAACACACACACGTGCGCCCGCGCGCGCGCGCGCACACACACACACACACACACACACATACACACAAACACGTATGCGCGCGCGCGCACACACACACACTCAAGCATACACAGACACATACTCTTTCTCTTTTTTTCTCTCTTTCTGCCTTTCTTTCTCACACACATACACATAAACATACACACACACAATCTCTCTCTCTCTCTCTCTCTCTCTTTCTCTCTCACACACACGCACGCACAAACACACAAACTCTTAAACACACACGAACACACACACACGCACACTCGCGAGCACGTAAACTAACAAACACAAACACACAAACACAAAATGACACACACTGAGACACACAGACACACATACACGCAACGCGCACGCAGAGAAAAAAATTGACTGAGTGAGAGTTAAGAGACAATGGGCGGGGAGACATAGATTAAAGAAATATAAACACAGAAACAATAGGGTAGATAGACTAGCAGATGGATTACTGGACAGAGAGGGGGTGGTGCATACGATGTGCGTGGGTGCGAATGTTTAAATTAATGCTCAAGTCTTCTCAAGCAAGTGAGAATTTGCCCTTCGTCTTCCTTTTTGTCCTTGTGAGCTTCTGTTTATCTAGATTCTAGATGTACTATTGCACGTTTGCGTTTCAGACATAAAGTTTAAATACTGGTGATACTCTACTGTAAACGTTAAATCAAATTTCTGCGAATAAAGCAGGAGACATTATAATGTACTTTTGAAGAGGTATATTTTCTCAAAGAGAGTGTTTGGTGATGATTTTGAACGAGCAAGCAAGAAGTGAGAAAAAGTGGCTTGAGCTGTTTACCAGTCATAATTCTTTTATGAAAACAAGTTTAACCAACTAGTCTTGCGTGCACTCATATTTGCGCATGCAGGCCTGTGTATATATATATATA